GAGGGGGTGTAGGGGGCTGGAGGGGGTGACAGAGATAGGGAGGGGGCTGGAGGGGGTGACAGAGATAGGGAGGGGGCTGGAGGGGCTGACAGAGATAGGGAGGGGGCTGGAGGGGGTGACAGAGATAGGGAGGGGGCTGGAGGGGGTGACAGAGATAGGGAGGGGGTGACGCGTGAGCACCTGCACTGTGCGTCCCCACGAAGCACTGATCAGAAACTGTTTGACAGGGATGTGGAAGTGGGTCAGGCTCCGATTGGATAGAGGATGGGCCGAACGGTCACCCGTTTGAGTCGTTAGGTAACAGTGTGTCAGGATGCCCGCACCCCACCACTTGGGTACAGGGGACGGGCTGGAGAAGTGGGGACGAGGAGGTGGGTAAGGAGTTAAACCCTGAGATGTTTGTCCCGAGGAGCTGCCAAATTCCAGGAGCAGAAAGTTCGCACGGAGATTCCTCACCATATACGGAGTGTTCCCGAATCCTGGCTGGGGCCTGACCGCTCCGGCAGAGCCATCTACCTGCACCCGCCGCTGCACCCCCCCCCCCCCCCCACCCACCCAGGGATGTGCACCCCTGCTGCCAAACTCTCTCCACCCCCCCACCACCCTGAAACCCCCACCGTCAGGGGGCATTTGGGAGTCATTCTTTGTGATGGAGGGACACTGCGCTCTCCCACCCTCCGGCCGCGAGACGTCTGCACCCCAACCCCCCCACCGCTCAGACCCACAGCCTTCCGGACACTTTCCCGACCCGGGAGCAAGTGTGGGAGCAGCTGAAGGGGTGCACAGCAAGATCCCGCATGCTCTGACATACCAGCAATCATTCGCACCAACACACCCCCTCCCTATCCCCGTCACCCCCCCTGTCCTCTACCCCCCCTCCCTATCGCCGTTACCTCCTCCAGCCTCCTGCACCCCCTCCCTATCTCTGTCACCCCCCTACACCCCCTCCCTATCTCTGTCACTCACTCCGTCCCCTTCACCCCTTCCCTATCTCTGTCACCTCCCCAGGGAGTATAGACTGTGAGGGATGGGACGGGGTGGTAAAATTTTGGTCTGTTCCAGTTTTTGAAAAACCACAATGTGTTTGCTCTCCTGCAGGATGTGGTATCTGAATGGGAATTATTTAATTGTGATCGTGAGTGTGTTGGTCATCTTGCCCCTTGCTCTGATGAGGCAGCTCGGTAAGTCACTAATTAGTGGTGGGGGCCTGGATTAATTTGTGGGAGGGACACAGAGTGTGACAGAGAGAGAGAGAGAGAGATTGACAGACAGGCAGAGAAAGTATAACAGAGAGAATTGAGAGACTCAGAGACAGAGACAGAAGTAGAGAGATAGAGAGACAGAGAGTGAGAGAGACTGAGAGAGATAGAGAGAGAGAGACTGAGACAGAGAGATTGACAGAGAAAGAGAGTGAGAGAGAGTCCGAGACAGAAACTGAGAGAGACAGGGACAAAGAGTGAGAAACAAACAGAATGAGAGAGAGAGAGACTGAGGGGGATAGGGACAGAGAGAGAGACAGACAGAGACAGACGGACAGAGAGAGAGAGACAGACGAACAGACAGAGAGAGACAGAATGAGAGAGAGAGAGAGGCAGAATGAGGGAATGAGAGAGAGAGAGGCAGAATGAGAGAGAGAGAGACAGAATGTAAAAGAGAGAGAGAGAGAGAGAAAGACTGTTTCACTCGGTGTGGGTGCAGGTCTACAATGGGAGGTTTGGTTGGGTTTGAATCTTTAAATCTGAGCCCAGAGGTTCTGGGGGTTTGGGATATGACAGGAAGCCCTTTGTTACACAGCAGGCTGGGGAGAAATGGCAACGGCCCCTTCTCTACAAACTCACCAGAGAGTGTGTGATACATAGATTCCGGAAAGGGTTGTTCTGCAAATGAAGTGGGTAGGATGGTGGGCCATCGTCCATTACAATGATGGAGAATTCACGGGAAGGGCTGAATGGCCGCTCCCTCAGCGCTGACCCTCGGACAGCGCCCGCTCCCTCGGCGCTGACCCTCGGACAGCGCCCGCTCCCTCGGCGCTGACCCTCGGACAGCGCCCGCTCCCTCGGCGCTGACCCTC